ACGCCTTCTGCTTCACTTCCTCCTCCTCCTCCTCCTCGCTTCCATCTGTGTCGTCCTCGGCGCTGGCACTGACCTGCGGAATCGGTTTGGGTGGAGGCTTGTCCTCTGTCACTTCGGCGACGCCCAACCAGCCCTTGTCTGCCTGGTCGAAGGGGTCCGGCCCGCCCATCACGTACGAGAAGCGCCGCCCCTCCGCGCTCGGTTGCTGGGGCGCGGCGTCGGTCATGGCCGCACCTGTCGTCGGGACAGACGTGATGAAAATCACATTTATGGCGTGTCTTATTTCCAGGGGAAAAAAACTGGAAATAATCCAATGAATCGATAAGGAACTGATTTATATTCACATATTAAATTGGGAAATTAAGAACGTTATTCATGTCAGAAATTTATTCTTTGTGGAAGTTAAATATAAAATCTGGCGAGCGAACACTTACCTAGGTAAAACATAACACTTATAAACATACGTAATTTGTTATGATACGAGTATAATGTTTTCTGTCAGCTGATACAAGTAACTCTTCAGATAACAAACTAAACAAATATTCCAAGCGAAAAAAATGTGCGAGCAAGCAATCGTGTTTGTTCATTCGTGTGTATTACCATTGTGTGCAGCGACCATGCGTGTTTGTTCATTCGTGTGTGTTTTATAAGTTCATTCGTGTGTATTACCTTTACTTTATGTGTGTGACCATGTTTGCGTGTTTGTTCATTCGTGTGTATTACCTTTACTTTATGTGTGTTTTCCTCGTTGTGAAGCTTATCAGCGGTAAACTGTTAAAAGAAAAAGAAAAACACCTTATCATATTCGGTGCAAACTCCGATAATTTTATATAGATAATGTATTTTTTATTAGAGATCGAATAACTGCGTACACACATTCATTGTATTTTGCCAATTATCCTAACGATACTGTTAGATTATATTGGAGAATAATGAGTTCCGTTAATTAATATAGACGAGTAAAATATCAAATTGATTCCAGGTAACAGAAAGACGAATAGCAAAATTCTATCAGTGATTTCAAAATGCATTGTCTTGATTCAGAATAATTTTGGTGTAATTTAAATGCGTATAGATATATTTGAAACATATCCCCACGTAAATGCATAACCTGAAGATCTTACCTTTTAGGACTGCAACATTTCATTTCATGGCAAATCTGAGGGGCATTAGGGTATATGTCCCTACACTCTCCTTCTGTTTCTTGTCTCTCTCTCTCTCTCTCTCTCTCTCTCTCTCTCTCTCTCTCTCTCTCTCTCTCTCTCTCTCTCTCTCTCTCTCTCTCTCTCTCTCTCCTCTCTCTCTCTCTCTCTCTCTCTCTCTCTCTCTCTCTCTCTCTCTCTCTCGCCCCATTTCGATCATTTCGATTTTAACCATTAACCATTTTTATATTTGAACAATTAAACATTCCCTATTTATTTTAGATTATTAACCATTTATTATTTATTTCAACCATTAACCATTTGCTATTTTTAACAATTAACCATAAACTATTTTTTTTTAACAATTAACCATAAACTATATATTTTAACCATTAACCATTGCCTATTTATATGTTTGTTTATTCATCATTATTATTATGATCTTTTATAAGAACGCAGCAACCCACTGACTACCAACTTGGAACCTGTACACTGATGAACTAGGCTTGACCTTTTTACTCCCTGTTAATGAAAGTTGTAATAAAAAAAAAAAAAATGAGAAAGGATGGCGGGAGCGGTTGTAGTACAGAACAACAGCGGGGAAGATGTCAGTTGAGGTGATTGTCTTTTATCGTCTATCGTGACTGTTTTGTCAACCTTTTGATTGCGTTTATACTGGGATGAAGATATTTATTTTACTACTACTGTTACTGCTACTGCTACGACAACAACAACTACTATTATTGTTATTATTACTACGACAATTACAACTACTACTAGTAGTACGACAACAACAACCACTACAACTATTACTACTACTACAGCTACTATTATTACTATTACTACAACTACAACCACTACTACTATTATTATAATTACTACTACTACTACAACTACTACTACTGTTATAATTATTACAACCATTATTTAGCATACAATCATTATGTTAAAGGTATGTGTATTTTTAAAATCCTGTTATAAAACGAGTAAAAAGAAATGTTTACATAAATGCAAGGGAAGTCGAATGTATAAATAAGCGCAGGTGGGAAAGTATATATACACATACACAGATATAGGCATCTATGAATGCACACACACACACAACACACACACACACACACACACACACACACACACACACACACACACACACACATATATATTATATATATATATATATATTATATATATATATATATACCACGCATAAAATATATCGATCCAATGATTCTTAGTACCAAAGGGCGAAGAAAAGACCTTGATATAATTTTTGTAGGCCTGTAATATTTGTCCCTAAAGACACTACCATAAAATAGCGAAAAGTGGCAACTCAACCCAACATTCTGAAGCATTCCGAT